CCTTTGGTGTGAGGTGGTTGCTGTTTGGTACCTCACTTTTTGTGATTTCGGCCGTCTTGTGTGAGGTGGATCCTGCTGTGTTTCCATCCTCTTTGTGATGTGGGCACTCTGGTGTTAAGTGTTTCCTAATGGGTTTTTCACCTTTCTGTCATATGGGCCTCCTTGTATCAGGTGGTTCCTTCTGGGTTCCTCATACCCTTTGTGATGTGTGTCCTCTGGTGTGAAGTTGTTCCTCCTTTGTTGCTCATCCCCTTTGTGATGTGGGCCCTCTGGATTGAGGTGGTTCCTGTTGGGTTCCTCTCTGTTTTATGATATGAGCGCTTTGGTGTGAGGTGCTTCCTGCTGGGTTCCTCATCCCCTTTGTGATGTGGGCTCTTTGGTGTGAGGTGTTTCCTGCTAGGTTCTCCTCCGCTTCGTGATATGGGCCCTTTGGTGTAAGGTGGATCCTGCTCGGCTCCTCATCCCGTTTGTGATGTGGGCCCTTTGGTGTGAGGTGGTTCCTGCTCGGTTTCCATCCCCTTTGTGATATGGGCCCGTTGGTGTGAGGTGGTTCATGCTGGATTCCCTTCCTCTTTGTGATGTGGGCCCTCTGGTGTGAAGTGGTTCCTGCTTTGTTGCTCATCCCCTTTGTGATGTGAGCCCTCTGGTGAGAGGTGGTTCCTGCTGGGTTCTCATCCCCTTTGTGATTTGGGCCGTCTGGTTTGACGTGGTTCCTGTTGGGTTCCTAACCTTTTTGTGATGTGGGCCGCATGCTGTGAGGTGCTGTTTGCTAGGTTCCTCATAACTTTTGACATGTGGGCCCTCTGGTGTGAAGTGGTTCCTGCTTTGTTCCTCTTTACCTTTGTGATGTGGTTGCTCTTATGTGAGATGCTTCCTGCTGGGTTCCTCATATCGTTTCTGATATTGGCCCTTCGATGAGAAGTAGTTCCTACTTGGTTCCTACACGCTATGCGATGTGGGCCCTGTGGTTTGAGGTTGTTTCTGTTGGGTTCATCACCTTTTCATGATGTGGGCCCTTTGCTGTGAGTTGGATCCTGCTGGGTTACTCATCCCTTTTGTGATGTGCCCCTCTGGGGTGAGGGGTTTCCTCCTGAGTTCCCCATACCCTTTGTGATGTCATCGCTCTGGTGTGAAGTGGTTCCTGCTTTGTTGCTCTTCCCCTTTGTGATGTGGGCCCTCTGGATTGAGGTGGTTCCTGTTGGGTTCCTCATCGTTTTATAATCTGAGCGCTTTGGTGTGAGGTGCTTCCTGCTGGGATCCTCATCCCCTTTGTGATGTGGGCCCTTTGGTGTGAGGTGGTTACTGCTAGGTTCTCCTCCCCTTTGTGATGTGGGCCCTGTGGTGTGGGGTGGCTCATGCTGGGTTCCCCATCCCCTTTGTGATGTGGGCCCTTCGGTGTGAGGTGGATCCTGCTGGGTTACTCATTCTCTTTGTGATGTGGGCACTATGTTGTTAGGTGGTCCCTTTTGGGTAGCTCACCTTCCTGTGATGTGGGCCCTCTTGTGTGAAGTGGTTCTTGCTGTGTTGCTCATCCCATTTTTGATGTGGGCCCTGTTGTGTGAGGTGCTTCCTGCTTGGTTCCTCATCCCCTCTGTGATGTGGGCCCTTTGGTGTGAGGTGGTTCCTGCTCGGTTTCCATCCCCTTGTGATGTGGCCCCTCTGGTGTGAGGTGGTTCCTGAGTGTTCCTCACATTCTTTTTGATGTGGGCCCTATGGTGTGAAGTGGTTCCTGCTTTCTTGCTCATACCCTTTGTGATGTGGGCCCTCTGGTGTGAGGTGTTTCCTATTGAGTTTCTCACCCTTCTGTGATATGGGCCTCCTTGTATCAGGTGGTTCCTGCTGTGTTCTTCATACCGTTTGTGATGTGTGCCCTCTTGTGTGAAGCTGTTCCTGCTTTGTTTCTCCTCCCCTTTGTGATGTGGGCCCCATGGTTTGAGGTGGTTCCTGTTGGGTTCCTCACCGTTTTATGATCTGAGCCCTTTGGTGTGAGGTGGATCCTACTGTGTTCCTCATCCCCTTTGTGATTTGGGCACTTCCTGCTCGGTTTCCATCCCCTTTGTAATGTGGGCCCTCTGGTTTGAGGTGGTTCCTGCTGGGTTCTTATCCCCTTTGTGATGTGGGCCCTCTGGTTTGAGGTGGTTCCTGTTAGGTTCCTCACCTTTTTGTGATGTGGGCCGCATTGTGTGAGGTGGATCTTGCTGGGTTACTCATCCCCTTTGTGATGTGTGCCCTCTGGTGTGAAGTGGTTCCTGCTTTGTTTCTCTTCCCCTCTGTAATGTGGGTGCTCTGGTGTGACGTCCTTCCTGCTGGTTTCCTCATATCCTTTGTGATGTGGGCCCTTTGGTGAGAGGTAGTTCCAACTGGGTTCCCATCCCCTTTGTGATGTGGGTCCTCTGCTTTGACTTGGTTCCTGTTGGGTTGATCACATTTTTATAATGTGGGCCCTTTGGTGTGAGGTGGTTCCTGCTGGGTTCCTCATACCCTTTGTGATGTGCGCCCTCTGGTGTGAGGTGATTCCTGCTGGGTTCTCATCCCTTTTGTGATGTGGACCCTCTAGTTTGAGGTGATTCCTGTTGGGTTCCTCACCATTTTATGATGTGGGCTCTCAGGTTTGAGGTGGTTCATGTTGGGTTCCTCAAATTTTTTGTGATGTGGGCCCTTTTGTGTGAGGTGGTTGCTGCTGGGTTCCCATCCCCTTTGTGTGTGGGCCTTTTCGTTTGATTTGGTTTTTGTTTTGTTGATCACCTTTTTTTAATGTGGGCTCTTTGGTGTGAGGTGGATCCTGCTGAGTTCCCATCCTCTTTGTGATGTGGGCCCTCTGGTTTGAGGTGGTCCCTGTTGGGTAGCTCTCCTTCCTGTGATGTGGGCCCTCTTGGGTGAAGTGGTTCCTGCTGTGTTGCTCATCCCTTTGTCATATGTGCCCTCTGGTGTAAGGTACTTCCTGCTGGTTTCCTCATCCCCTTTGTGATGGGGCCCCTTTGGTGTGAGGTTGTTCTTGCTCAGTTTCCATCCCCTTTGTGATGTGGGCACTGTGGTGTGAGGTGGTTGCTGTTGGGTAACTCACGTTTCTGTGATTTGGGCCCTCTTGTGTGAGGTGGATCCTGCTGGTTCATCTCCTTTGTGATGTGGGCTCTTTGGTGTGACCTGGTTCTTGCTGGGTACCCATCCCCTTTGTGATGTGGACACTGTGCTTTGAGGTGTTTGTTGTTGGGTATCTCACCTTTCTGTGATGTGCACCCTCTTTTGTGAAGTGGTTCCTGCTGTGTTTCCATCCCCTTTGTGATTTGGCACTCTGTTGTGAGGTGGTTCCTGAGGGTTCCTCACGTTATTTTTGATGTGGTCCCTATGGTGTGAAGTGTTTCTTGCTTTGTTTCTCTTCCCCTTTGTGTTGTGGGCACTCTGGTGTGAGGTGTTTCCTATTGGGTTCCTCACCTTTCTGTGATATGGGCCTCCTTGTGTGAGGTGGTTCCTCCTCGGTTCCTCATACCCTTTGTTATATGTGCCCTATGGTGTGAGGTTGTTCCTTCTTTGTTGCTCATCCCCTTTATAATGTGGGTCCTCTGGTTTGAAGTGCTTCTTGTTGTGTTCCTCACCATTTTATGATGTGAGCCCTTTGGTGTGAGGTGGTTCCTGTTTGGTTTCCATCCCCTTTGTGATGTGGGCCCTCTGATGTAAGGTGGTTCCTCCTGGGATCCCCATCCCCTTTGTGATACGGGCCCTTTGTTGTGAGGTCATTTCTGCCTCATTCCCGTAACCTTTGTGATGTGGGCCCTCTGGTGTCAGATGTTTCCTTCTGCGTTTCTCATCCCCTTGGTGATGTGGGCCCTTTGGTGTGAGGTAGTTCATGCTGGATTCCCTCCCCTTTGTGATGTGGGCCCTCTGGTCTGAGGTGGTTCCTGCTTTGTTGCTCGTCCCCTTTGTGATGTCGGCCTTGTGGTGTGAGGTGCTTCCTGCTTGGTTCCTCATACCCTTTGTGTTGTGGGCCCTCTTATGTGTGGTGGTTCCTTCTGGATTCACATCCCGTTTGTTATGTTGGCCCTCTGGTTTAAGGTGGTTCCTGCTGTGTTCCCATCCCCTTTACGGTGTGGGCCCTCTGGTTTGAGGGTGTTCATGTTGGGTTCCTCACCTTTTTGTGTTGTGGGCCCTCTTCTGTGAGGTGGTTGCTGCTGGGTTCTTCATACACTTTGTGATGTGGGCCACCACCAGGCAAATCCCTGTATTACTTTTATAATAAAAAGATACGTAAGCAAAGCAAATAACCAAGTACTTCCCTGGTGGTTCAGTGGCTAAGACTCCACGCTCCCAATGCAGGGGGCCGGATTTGATCCGTGGTCAGGGAACTAGATCCCACATGCCGCAACTTAGAGTTCACATGCTGCAACTAAAGATCCTGTGTGCTCCAACTAAGACCCTGTGCAGCCAAATAAATAAATATATATATATATATATTTTTTTTTCAAAAGCAAATAACCAAAGAGCAAATAGTAATGGGGAGGGAGACGCACTACTGCTCATCAGCCATGCTTCTGGATGAGATGTTCCGGGCACAAGTTTTCCTCAGTGTGACAGAACTGACCCTAGGGACTGTCGCCTGGTGTTGTGAGGATTAAGTAAGCGTGTCAGCTGGGCCCCCGCTGGAAACACAGTTAACAAATAAAAAACCAGCCGCCATCATGGCCGTTGTCACTGTTGTCCCTTCCTCTTCACCCTCTTACTTAGTGGAATTCCTGAGTGGGTGCCTTCAGCTGTCCTTCCCGCTTAAATCCTGTTGTCCTAATCAGACGTGATCAGCAAAGAACACCTTCCAACTTTCTATGGCTGCTCCCCTAGCTCCCAGGAAGTTGTGGGGTCATGTCTCACAGCTTCCTGGTGCCATTTAGTCACCACTTGTCAGCAGTTCTGGGTGAAGCTTGCATGAAGGGCACCCTCCCATCTGGTCCTCCTCCCCTCTCCCTAGGAGTCCAGGGCCCTGATGGGCCATGAACAGGGCTGAGATTCACCTGTCCATAGTTCCAGGGGCAGGGACAGATCCAGTTCTTGTTCCCTTGATAGGAAGCTGTAATCATTCACGACATACTCCTGCCTCTGGGGTTCACCGTCCAAGTAGACAGTGTCTCCTGGGAATCAAAGTGGGAGGACACAAAGCAGAAAAGTCATGCCACCCTTCCTGTTCCATTCCCACCCCCAGAAGGCCCAGGGCCATGGAAACTGAGCTCTGGGGAGAGAACCCAGTGACTCCAAGAAGGGCATGAGTGAGGCGTCCTGGGGAGGCCCATCCCCTACCCCCCATCAACACCAGCAACAGGCTCAATAGGAACATGGGGTAGAAGTAAAAATTACCTTTGGTGGAATTTCTTGGTTTAAGGTTGAGGAAACAGGCTCAGAGTGATAAGTAACTTGCCCAAACCACACATATGTAGAGTGAAATTTGAACACAGAGCCCATGTGAGTCCATGTTCCCTTCCCTTTCTGCTACACTCAACTAGTCCTGGTTGGAAATGAGAAAACTGGAACCTAGGGGTTGGCATTGACCTCAGCATTCCTTCTTTAGGAATTTATTCTAAGCAGAGTATTTAGAAAGTGCACAAAGATTTAGATACTTAAGCTGCTCATCTGAGTGCTGTTTATAACACTGAAAAGTTGGAAACAACCTAAAGGCCCTGTTCTTAGGGACTAGTTAAATGATCATCTCCATCACAGAATTCTGTACACTATTAATATATGGGTGCAAAATTGTATATTTAGACAGAAATCTACATTTAATATATTAAGCTTGAATAGGTTACATAATGTGTAGGGCACGAATTGACTTTTGTTATAAACATATGTGTATGAACAGAGGATTTTGAACCCTATTCTGAAAGATGTTAGCAGTATTTTTTTTCTTTTTGCCTATTGGTGTTCTCTAGATTTTCTGGAATGAACATGTCTCTTTTATGATATAAAAAGAATTTTCTCTTTAAAGTTAAGAATGAACAAACAAAAGGCCATGGGGGCAGATGTCCTCATTGCAGTGTCCTGGAACTGTCTGGAAGCCCTGCCTGAGCCTCAGGTGATGGTACCCTCCCCTCTTCCTCAGAGGCAGCCTCAGACACAGTCTGAGGGGGGGCGTCGCTGGTGGAGAAGGACTCCTGGCTGACATGCATTTTATCAGGTTTTGGACCAGAGTGGTGAGAGCTGCAGGTTCATGGTTGAGAGCACGCACATCCCTCTCCATAGTGGGGAGCAGCAGTGGCCTGAGACAGGGTGTGTGGGGCTCCCCAGCCAATATCTTGGCCGTGGTGATGGGGGAGCCACTGATCCTGATTTCAGCCCCTACCAATCCCTAGCCCCTATAGGTTCTCCCTGGGACCTGGGTGGGGCACAAGACTGAAAAGAGAAGGCCTCACAGGCATCACTCTCCTCCCCACAGCTCAGGGGGGCCCTCAGTACAAGTCTGAAACCCCTAGTCTTGGAGGCCGGGAGATATGCATGTGTGTGTGTGTGTGTGTGTGTGTGTGTGTGTGTGTAAGAGAGACACAGAGACTGGGAGAACAGAGAGACAGACAGACAGCTGTCCTCCTTGATTCAGTGGCAGTGCCTCTTCACCGGGCTGATAGGTAAGAGTTCTGAGCTGTTCAGCGACAGGGCAGTGAGAGGTGGTGAGAGATGTTGAGGGTTCTGGGTTCTGGCACGACCCAGCAGGCCCCCTGGGGATAAGGTTGGGGGAGAGGGAGAGGGAGGAAGGGAAGCGGGGGCATCCTTTTTTTTTTTTTTTACATCTTTATTGGAGTATAATTGCTTTACAATGGTGTGTTAGTTTCTGCTTTATAACAAAGTGAATCAGTTATACATATACATATGTTCCCATATCTCTTCCCTCTTGCGTCTCCCTCCCTCCCACCCTCCCTATCCCAGCCCTCCAAGCGGTCACAAAGCACCCAGCTGATCTCCCTGTGCTATGCAGCTGCTTCCCATTAGCTATCTACCTTATGTTTGGTAGTGTATATATGTCCATGCCTCTCTCTCGCTTTGTCACAGCTTACCCTTCCCCCTCCCCATATCCTCAAGTCCATTCTCTAGTAGGTCTGTGTCTTTATTCCTTCTTACCCCTAGGTTCTTTATAACATTTTTTTCCTTAAATTCCATATATATGTGTTAGCATACGGTATTTGTCTTTCTCTTTCTGACTTACTTCACTCTGTATGACAGACTCTAGGTCTATCCACCTCATTACAAATAGCTCAATTTTGTTTCTTTTTATGGCTGAGTAATACTCCATCTCACACCAGTCAGAATGGCCATCATCAAAAAATCTAGAAACAATAAATGCTGGAGAGGGTGTGGAGAAAAGGGAACACTCTTGCACTGCTGGTGGGAATGTGAATTGGTGCAGCCACTATGGAGAACAGTATGGAGGTTCCTTAAAAAACTACAAATAGAACTACCATATGACCCAGCAATCCCACTGCTGGGCATATACCCTGAGAAAACCATAATTCAAAAAGAGTCATGTACCAAAATGTTCATTGCAGCTCTATTTACAATAGCCCGGAGATGGAAACAACCTAAGTGTCCATCATCGGATGAATGGATAAAGATGTGGCACATATATACGATGGAATATTACTCAGCATCCTTTAAGTCAGAAGTAGGGCTTGGTTGAGTCTGGCCTCTGCCCCCAAAGCCCACCAGACCCACTCCCTACTCTCATCCCTCCCTGCCCTTCTTCCTGCTCTCTCCTCCTGGCTCGCCCTTCCTTCTGCCCACACTGTGTCTGCATGCCTGTGGAACTACCCCTGCCCCCAGGCAGATTTAGAGGATGGGAATTATCGGACATGTAGTGCTGGGACACTCTCTGTAGCTTTGTCTAAGACAAACACTAGCAACAGCCAAAATGCCCATAAGTAGGGGACTAATGAGAAACATTTGGTACATCCAAACAGTGGAGTGATCGTAGCTATTAAAAAGGAGGTACTGATAGGAAAATATGTCCAGACTTGGGGATTGATTGGGTTCGGTGTGATTGGAAGAGGGGGATAGGAGGGGGAGGATTCTAGAGACAGGCCGAGAAGAGGAAGCAGGAGTTGGGAGGAGGGGACCTTAGGGTCCTTAGGGTCAAGTCTAACCAGCTGGAGGGAGGCCCCTAGGTGGAAAAGGACATCTTGGCCTAGCAAGGGAACTGGGCAGGATGGTATGACTAAGAAGGAATGAGTAAAATGGAGTCCTTCGATATGACATGGGAGTGGACCGGTCTGGAGTGGGAAGGATGGTTTGCCATCAATACCCATAACCGAGATCTGGGAAGGAGAAACTGGCCCGGAATAAGTAGGCAGGACCGAATAGGTAGCCCCGTGTCCACCAGAAATGAGATGGACTTACCCACTACCTGTAGCGTTACCCTGGACTCGGCGAGGGTGATGGGGGTCTTCGAGTCCGGGCGCCGTCAGTCGTCAGCCAATCCCAGCAGTTTGAATGGTAATGCCGTTGGGTCGGCCTGCCCGCCGCGTGGAGACGCTGAGGGAGGGCCAGCCGTAGGGCAGTCACTCTTCCAGTGGCCCGTTAGCCCGCAGCTGGGACAGGGCTTAGAAGGAGGTCGGGGATTGGGACATTGGCGAGTCCAGTGGCCTTTTTTTCCGCATTTGAAGCAGGCCCCCGGCGGGGTTGCCTTTTGTGGATCCTGTGGATGCTGTGATCCATGGGAGATGGCCGGCCTTAGGGCGGCTACAAGAGCTTGGGTTTGGAGGGCCACCTTCTGGTGCATCCGAGCCTGTCGGCTGGATTCTGCCAAATCCTCACGGCCATTGTAGACTTTAAAGGCCATCTTTACCAGATCTCGAATAGGGGTTTGAGGGCCGTCTTCTGCCCGTTTTAATTTCTTTCGGAAATCAGTCCGGGGATGATTGGATGATAAAATGGGTGGCTAGGACCGCTGCCCCTGCCGGGGTGTCGGGATCCAGCCGGGAGTATAGAGTTAAGGCCTCTGTAAGGCGATTGAGAAAGATAGCTGGATTTTCGTTAGGTTTTTGGGTTATCTCTTTTCGTTTCTCAAAATTGACTACCTTATGAGTGGCAGCCTGCATGCCAGCCAGGAGGCATTGGATCATGAGGTCGCGCTTACGACGGCCATCCTGATAAGTCCAGTCTGGATCGGTGCCAGGTACGGCAGTCGCTCCGACAGGCATAGAGTTGTCGGTAAGGTGAACCTGATCTGCCTGGTTTCGGGCAGCAGTTTGAATTCTTTCCGTCTCGTCAGGGGTCAGAGTAGAAGATAGGAGCACAAAGATATCGTGCCAGGTTAGATCGTAAGCTTGAGAGAGGTAGCGAAATTTTTTGATGTAGTGGGAAGAGTCGGCAGAAAAGGAGCCTAATCGCTTTTCTATTTGAGAGAGATCTTGGAGGGAAAAGGGAACATGAACTCTAACTAATCCTTGCGCTCCTGCTACCTCCCTCAGAGGGCAGAGGAGATTTGGATCTTGGGAGTCGTGAGAGCGTGTATGTGCACTAATTGGCGCAGCAAGGGGCGTGGGAGGAGAAACCGTTAAGGGAGGCGGGGGAACGGTTGGAGGGGCCTGAGCGGGCTCGGGAGGCGGGACCGCTTCAGGGTAGGGTGGAGGTTGGAGAGGAGTTCTGGAGGGGGGAGAGGCGAGAGATTCGGGTGGGTCGGCTAGTGGAGAGGGGTCATCGTCAAAGGAAATTAGGGGCTTGGATGTAGGAGATGTAGAAGGAAGGGCGGGAGCGTAAATACCAGAAGGCCTGAACATAGGGTACCTTGGACCATTTATTTGCCCGTCCTGCGGCAGTAATTATCTAGATCACGGAGGATGTTAAAACCGAAAGTCCCTTCAGGATTAATTGTCTAGAGGATATTGTGGCCAGGCCACAGTGGAATAGAAAATAAGCCGTCGGCAACGGAGATCTTGGCTAGGAGACACCCCAGGGGCGTCTTAGGATCTGGTTTCGATTGTGAGGTTCCCATGACCCCCAGTCTGTCCCTGAGTGAATGCAGAGGCGTCCCTGGTCTCAGTCTCCAATTCACGTCAGGTCGGAGGGCGGTCAGGCGATTGGGACGTCTCCACAGTTGCCCGAGGCCCGGAGAGAGGACGGAGGAGTCCCTGACGTGGCCGCGATTAGGGA